GTTGATAGTCACTGCCATTTTTTATCGAATGTAGTTCTGAACGATTTTCCTGCAGAACTTTTCTTACAGAGATCATTTATTGTTAAAGTAAATTTTGATTCGATGATTTACTTTGTATTATTATATTCTATTGATAGCGTTTACTTGCTCTATTAAATGAAAATCATGATGATCTTATTACAGCAGCACTTTCATGTCTAAAAGATTATGCAATTAATTTACAACGACGAATTAAAATTCTTTGTGATCCAGCTTGTTTCTGTCCAAAATATAATTCGAATTCAGGTAGAATAAAATCTTATTATCATTCATTAGAAATCGAAAGTCACGGATGATTAGTACATAAAGAAAGAATAAGATATGTCTATGAGAATCTGTCGTGCTCCTTTCATGCGTTCTAATGTGTAATAGATATGAAAAATAACGTGTCACTTGAACTGAAACTAGTCTTTCAAATGATTTGTTCGTTAACCTGTTTCAATTTCGATTGATCTAAAATGTCAATTGATCTAAAATAGTATTCATCTTTAAAGACAAAAATAAACAATCATACTTTTATTTTGAAATCTTTCAAATTTAGATGCTCTAAAAGAACAAATTCTGGATAATTTTAATAATGCATTAACAAGTGCTCGATCTGTTTCTTCAATCAGTTTAGTAACATCCAATGGTTATTGTAATCCAGCACAATGGTAATGTTCAATTTTTTTTTGCTTTCCTGTCAAATTCATATTTTCTAGGTCTTTAAAATACGACGAATCTCAACAAGTTGATCAACCATCATCATTTGATATGTTGGATTTCTTTTATGCTCTATTAATCCGAACATTAGATCTATTACATCGATTAACACTAAAAGATTGTCTTCGCACATGTTTACAATTAAATAATTCTGTTTGCCATATTATTGATCTATTTTGTTAAACATAACTATGGAACAATGAATGTATGAAAACAAAACATGGGTCTTTCTTACAGATAATTTTCTTTTTTTTATAGTTTGAATACTATTCGGTCTTATTCTGTCGTTTAAATTCATTAATAAAACAATAATTAACAATCGGTTATACATTTCAAAGTCAAACAATCGATATTCATAGTTTACATTTTTTTTCAACCCTTTTACATACAATAGAATGGTCTGAGGAGGTAAGCTTTGGTTTCTATAGAATTTATTTTAATAGATAGTTAATCGATTACCTCAAGAATTTAATGAATTCGTTTATTATATTTTAATCCATAGCTGAAAAATTTGATAAAGATAATTATCAAGTTTATACGAAATCAAATGATATTTATTGTTCATTTTCAGCAGCTTGGCAGATTCTAACTATCGATGAAAACAGAACTTAAGTAAATAAATAAATAAGAAAAGTGAAGCAAATCGTTTGATTTATTTTCAATTTAGAATTATAGGAGAATAGTTAAATATGCTGATGAANAGAGGGGGCTCAGCCCCCTCTAGAAACCTTTGAGCCCCCTCTAGGATGAAAACGATCTAGCATTAAGATGGAAGAGCATACTTATTTTCAGCCTCAAAACTGTAGCTAGAGGGGGCTCAGCCCCCTCTAAAAAATTTTTCTGGCTCCGCCACTAGTTCTAGAGTACGTAGATTCGTCGCTTGCGAAAAGAGAAGATGAAGATGATGTCGATTGAATGGTTCACCAATACTAAGTGATGTAACTTGATGCCAAGGAACTATGGGTGGCGAAAAAGAAAGAAATTCATCATTTATTCGATCATAATGTTCACTCATAATAATCTTATTGCAGCGAAACAATTGATTGTTGAAGACACATCTATTATATGACCATGGAGTTCGTCTAAATTCAAAAGATGTTTGTAATAAAAAACAACTGTCTATCTATACCCATGCACAGTATTTTTATGTAGATAACGATAGATACATAAACATTTATTCATTCTTGGTACTGTTAAAGCTCTAATAGAATATATGTTTTCGTTTAAAGATAGTTCCAATTCAATTGGGACGGGTCCTTTGAGCTGTTGAAATGTGTCGAATAAAATTTTGCTTGTTTCTGATATTGACACTACTGTTTTAACAGACCATCTAACATCAAACGAATATAAACATTGACTGGAAAGCATGGATTGTAAATTGTGAAGAACATGGAGACCAGCCACTCGCGCCAATAATCTGAAGTTCATTAATGAAAATAAAATATCACGTTCAAATAATTCATTAACTGATTCCGGATTCATCATAGAAGTAAACCATTTTATTGTTAGGCAGTGTAGATTTGGAGCAAGACATTTATTAATAGGAGTGATTCGACTAAAATGGATTAATAAGATTACTTTGCAACAATAAAAAATGCATTACTTATATTATCTAAATATTTCATGGAACGCACAGTTTTATTTCATTTATCTACTCCAGATCGTACGTTAGTATCAGTATTCTTCCTATATATTTATTGTGTTCATTTAAAAATCTGATACATAACTCAATTGTAATTCATCAACTATTCAAAATCTCCTCGCTATTGTTAATATTTGACTGTAAAAGCAAATACGAATTATTGAAAAACTATCTTATTATTTCATAAAATAATTCAGTTTTAACTTTAGTTTCTTCTGATAAAATGATTAGATATCGTCTCTTCTATCATACACTCCACATTGAGCTCATAAGTTAAAATATACATTCAATTAAAGAAAGAAACTTACTTGTAATCACTATGTCTTAGTAGATGGTTTTCAGGTAGCCAAGGATTAGTCCGTGTAAAGTTGAGTTGTTGCAATTGTGGGAGATGTTCAAATAAATGTGACAGAAAGCTTGGTGAGCAATGAAGTGTAAGTGATTGTAAACTTAAAAGACCAATTTGAATAGGCAAAAAAGTTCTGTCAGGGAGTAAAACGAGTTCACTGTCTAGAGTAGGATGTATGTATCGCCGGAAAAACAGATGACATACACGTAATGAAGGAAATAAGTGAAAAAATTTTTCATAATATACACCTTCAGGCACACCTCTAAACGTATAAGCAGCACAATCATCAGTTGAACAGCATATACTAAGCACGATGAGAGAATTAATAGGTGACAATGAATTAAGAATCAATTCAAAAGAATAACGTTTAATGTCGATTAAAGATAAATGACGAAGATTGATAAATGTAGATACATGTTCAACTAACCATAAACCATTATCGATAGCTAATGTATCTGAGACACATAATGAAATAAGACGACTGGAGATGTTTGATTGTGATAAATGTATATAATAAAATTTGGTCACTGCTATACTCATTCCGTTCAAACCCAAGTAAACGGGAATAAGTGATAGATTGTCCATAATAGCATCAAATCGTGAATTAAGATTAGAAAAAATATTAAATATTTCATGAAGCTGAAAATAAGTAAATATTTCTAGGAATATTTCGACAGAGAGATTCTCTAATGTTGTTACCATAGTTTGTTTTAATGTCATCATATTGAATATTGTGCATCATTCTTATATAATAATGGCTTCATAGACAATAATACAAAGCATTATTGTTCTTCCTTCCAATAGTCAGCGCAAGAAGATTACATGATTATTGCTATTCGTCAGCTTCATAGGTCATAGTGTATACAGTTTGTGTTGTCTTTTTTCTTTGGATCATTTCTCTCAATAGCGTGTTTATTATAAGAAGTGACAATAAAGTTTTTCCGATAGTCATGAATTGTCTTTTTTTGCTTTGTTTATATGAAACTCTTTTTTTTTGATATTACATGTATTTAAATATTTTTGGAAAAAAAACTACATAAGAATTATTAATAACAATTAAAGCATCAATTATTTTTTCACCGTCATATGTCATCATTTGACTTCCAATGATCATTTTTTTAATAGCTGAACTGCTCAAAAATATAAGACATCAAAATTCTATTAGTCTTCAATGAACTTTGAACATCACTTAAATAGATTTTTGGTCAAAAGGAAATTAAAAGTTCTTTTTTTTTATTTGAAAAAAACTAATATTTTTCATAGTATAGCAAATAATAAATAAGCTGTATTTTTGCATTCGGTATCATATGAGATGATAAATGTTGCAGATGCAATTGCTTCTTCTTCTGATTAGATCACATCTAAATCTGTTTTGATGATATGAAAAGATATAACATTTTGTGCGAATTTCATTCATGTACTCTTTTCAAATTTAGTATGTTGTTTTTTTAATCCAACACTGAACTCCAAATATTGTGTGACTAGAACGAATGTACTGAGAAATGTCGAAAAGAAAAATGTCGAAAGGAAAAATGTCGAAAGCAAAATGTCGAAAGTAAAAATGTCGAAAAGTAAAAATGTCGAAAGGAAAAATGTCGAAAAGTTAANGAAATGTTTTCTACTCAATTCATAGACAAGTTTTCTGTTAAAAAATGTCCTTTGGTTATTGGAATTAGGCGACAATTTGAGTACGAAAGAGATGGATTAACAATATCTGAATATCAATTTGAAACATTTGTTAAAAGTAATACTTTATCACGTAGTGAAATCAATGCTAATCATAAAATTCTATCCAATGAATTGGTTATTTTCAAAGAGAAATGCGATGAGAATGAACAAAATTTAGTAAGTGTTTTGTTTTTCATATTGATTTTCTATGAAAAATGATTCATTTTAGTCATTTAATTTCGTTAAAAAAACTCGTCTTTGCTGGGACATTATACTTGAAATAGCGCAATATCTTCCGTTAAATGATGCGATTTCTGCATTCTCTATTCGTATTCTTTTTCTATTACAAAATACTCAATCAAAATTTCAGTTGTCTGATCCATATGATCCATTTGTTAAAACAATTCTGCCAAAAATCAAAAAAGAACAAATTATTTCGTTACAATCCAGTGAACATCGGCTGCATTTAGGCATTGAAGAAGACTTGTTATCTAAGTTTAGAGACGTTTTTTCATTAAGTCTTCACAATTTATTACTCTCTTATCGAATGTATACGTATAAAAGAATGTGCCCGAATTTGACTCGTGTCTCTTTCAGCTATGACATGGAAGTTGAGTATAAGCTATTCAATGAACTATTAGATGAACTTAAGAATAAAATTAAACGATTTGAAATTCATTGTCCAGGAATATTTGGTAATCAAATTGATATGGATTCATTAAAGCAAATGAACAAAAGAACGACAAGCATTCAATACTTTTTACTTGATATCGGTCACTATTCTCTGACAGCAACAAACGAACACCTTCAACATCATAAACCATTTGTTTTTATAACAAGCATTGGATTTATAAGTCGAATGCCTTGCATACGATATATTCATTTAATTATCAAAAACTATGATGTTGAACACTTTTTGGATGATGATCGATGGAAAACTTCAGTAGAATTATGTTCCAGTTTACAGAAAATAATATTACAAGTGTTGGGAAATACACTTCACAGGGCATGGTGGATAAACAAAGTATTGAAAATCCAGACAACATTACGTATTATACGACCAACAATCAACTTTCAAATTTATTTTTAATAGTTTTCTTTTGTTTCAATGTCTACGTGTCATTTTCTATTACGCATACATGTATGTAGGATTCTTTGATATTGGTTGAACAGGAACATTTTTTTTGTGTCAGTTACAAATAAAAATAAAGCAGCAACATAGATTTGTTTTTCTTTCGCATTGATTTCAAAAGCATAAAAGTCGATTTTTGATAAGCTTTCTTATTGATAAAGACGATATAACTAGTCCTCAGCATGAAGATGTTTTTTCAATATGCCAATATAATGCCTCATCAGTATTTTCCAATTAATTCTTCAAAACATTTTCTTGTATGAGTACTCATCCTCTCTGTAATTGGTTAAAATGATCGTTTTCCAGCTGAGTGTAACGCATGATAACTTCAACTGGCATAAGTATTTAGATGCTTTACTAAATTCCTGCATCCCTTACTGTTACAAAATTAAAAAGTTCATGGTATTTTTCTTGACTTCACATTCTTTAAAGTACGAGATTTTCTGATTAAGACTGTGTACAACTCGTTTCATTTCATTAGAATCAGTTGAACCTTCCCGTTTTTGACTCCCTTGTCTGCACTTATAGAATGCTGAAAGCCAACCAGCCGGTTTTGGTTCCGAGCCTTTACACTTATCTCTAATAGAAGAAAAAAACGTGAGATTTTTCGAATAGGTCAAAACTACCGTTGAGATATATTAGGTATTATAAAGATTTCTTAGCAAAAGTCGGCTTGAATTTTCTTTCGTCCAATATATATCTCTTTATTTTGGATGTTCAGTCTCTGGTACCCTCGTCTAACACGAAGCATGATCAAAAAAATGAGTATTGGCTTCCTTGAGTGATCTTCAACGGTAACTAATAGTCAGCAAAAATTCAAAGTAGAGATTTCGGTCACTAAAATTTCATGATTTACCGCGTACTCGAACAAAATCACATCGTAAGCTCTTGATGAGTTCATTGACTGTCTTGACAAAAGAATAATAACACCGAATAATCTTAAATGAATCACTTTTCGAAAGAAAGATATTGTTTCTTTGATTTCCTACATATTTTGGTGCCATGTTTGAATTTTATTAATCAAGTTGAAGAATATATTAACTGTGCACTTTCGAGATTTTTCACCCTGAAAATATTATTCTTTCAAACTTATACGTAGTCTCATCCTTATACTCTGACGTCAATCTGTTATCGAAACTATAAAAATTCGTTCTACAACAGAGGTCGAAACTGGTAGCATTTTTTATTCCCCGCCTCGTCTCGCCCCGGTTCAATGTTTTTCTTCACAACATCATCACGCATTTCTGAGATATGTATATATTTCCGTCATATGATTTGTTTGACTATGTATTGAAAAAATAAATTAGGGCATGAAAAGAAAATAATTCGAGATCAACCCATCGTTTTCTTTGACATGCTTTATCCTACAAAGACTTGTACTATTATTGGCAACTGTTAGATCTTGATAAAATCTTCCATCGACAACTTCACCTACTACCGATAACTTTCTTTCAATAACAGCTGAGTTGCGTGACTTTTAATATATGTGGCACGCTAATTTCAACACATATACAGCAAATTTTTCGTATGTCTGCAAAAATGAAGCAATATTAATTACCTGAGTGAAATCAATTCCCAAGTTTAACGCCAGTAAGCACAATACAATTCTAATTTTTGAGTTAGTGTTTGATTGTAGTAGCTGTATGAACTGTGGATGAAAATATATCGCTAGTAATGTATGCAGCAGAGGATATTGATAGTGTCTGATAGACTGCTATTATCAAATTACACAGCCAAAATATATCGTGCTAAGGTTAAATTATGTAGAATTAATTTTATAGTTTATTGATCTACTCTCTTTTACATTAGCATTAAGCCTTTCTTTGTTATATCAAACTTATTGAATACCAGAAAACCGTAAGCTGCTGAACTACAAAATTATAACCGCTTAAAAACCAAATTTTCCAAGTCTGATGGAGTTCAGAAAATTCTTTCTTATTCTAACACATGTAAAATTGCTTTATGTATCTTGTTGTGTCTTTAGGTTTATATAATTTTGATTTCCTCTTCGTGAAAAACTGAAAAACATTATAAATACGATTTCAGCCCACGAATTGAGACTTTTGTTCAGCAATTTTGTCCTGCGTTATACTGAGTAAAGTAANGAATACATTGATTGAATTAAGTAATTTAATTTAAAATGTTATACAATTAATCGCCTTAAAAAAGGATTTTGTTTAGACTCATAAGAATCTTTTTTCATAATACAATGGTTTTCTCAAAAATAAAATAGAGATATCAATTTAAAGCCTATTTTAAAATTTAATTAAAAAAGATTGAAGTTTGATTTTGGATAAGTTCTATGTACACAAATTAAAAATAAAGTTCATTTTTTCCAACTGAGATTTAACATTTTATTTAAAACGACGCTGAAAATTAAAACAAAAATATAAAATTGAAAAAAAATTTTACAAATCTAAATTAAAAAAAACTAAAGGTTGATTTAAAATAAAATTCCATGTTGACAAGTCAAAAATAGTTCTTTTTTTGTCATTAAAATTTATGTTTTCAATAAATAAAAAGCTTTAATTTTTTTATTTAGCTTCGAAAATTTTTTTTTTCAATTTTATATTTTTGTTTTAATTTTCAGCGTCGTTTTAAATAAAATGTTAAATTTCAATTGGAAAAATGAACTTTATTTTTAATTTGTGTACATAGAATTTATCCAAAATCAAACTTCAATCTTTTTTAATTAAATTTTAAAATAGGCTTTAAATTGATATCTCTATTTTATTTTTGAGAAAATCATTGTATTATGAAAAAAAATTCTTATGAGTCTAAACAAAATTCTTTTTTAAGGCGATTAATTGTATAACATTTTAAATTAACTTACTTAATTCAATCAATGTATTCTCTACAATGCATGTGCGACGAATTGACCGGTCACCACTAAAAATCGTCTCCGTGATACTGAAAACTGAAGACACAACGAATTTGAAACAGTTCTATAAATTAAGACTAACTATATTGGAGAAAAGAAAGTGAAATGAATATAACCTACAAACGACTATCAAGACATAAATCCAAATAAATTAAATACATACGAAATAGTGAGCTGAGGACGAATACTTCGAAAAACGTATTCAATACATTGGATAACTGTTATTAAAGCATCCTGCTACCGGTATATATATATATCTTGGCACTGCGTTACCCTTTTAGCCGCCATCCAGTCTTCATACATTGCTTAACAACGCGTGACAATATAATCAAAACATGTATTTTTCTTCCTCTAGCCATGAAAAATTAGTTGTCTTTCTCGACTCAACCAGCTTTGTACTGTAGAGAATAACGAAAAAGCGAGACAAAAAAGTATCTTCTAATTCATCTTTACAGAAATGAGATCTTTACTTTCTATCAAATCTTCTCGAAGAACGCGACCATTGGCAGATGTTCAACTCCAAATGTTTTCTCTTCAATTCGATTCAACAAAAACAATGTCACCAGAGAACATGAATCGAACTCTTAAATATCTAGGAAGCACTCGCCTTCATTACCCAATGATATTCAAATGATATTACCACAACAATTCTGAACCCATTCTCGGTTACTCTCCGAACATTCATAGGACGGTTGGGAAGTTGCCGTCATCGATTTATTAGATATTAATCAAACTTATGAACAATTAAGTTTAACATCAATGCAAACAAAGTACTCAGCGGCACAACAGTAGATGTCCACTACAAAAAGCAACGAACTAAATCGCTCAATACTTGATTGCAAGATTTGATTCGATGTATAACAAAATCTTCCACACAATCAAAGTAACAAGAAATGTACCATCCACCATTTGAAATCACTGCTTAAAAGTCGCCATCAACAAAAAAGAAGAATGATCTAGACCTTGTACTATTGAACTTTTCATTTATAAAACCAATAAATACATAAAGTAGAGAAAAATTTTTCTAGTGGTAATATTCATTAATGATTTATGTTTTGCTGATGTCATAAAAAGATGAAAGTTTTGATAATTAGCAAATGCATACTTGTCTATGATTAGTTTTTTTCATATAATTAAGAGTATTGCATTGCTCAACACATCTGATTTGTTTTGACAAGCATGAAGAAGAAAAAAAACAATTTGGATCAAGTTAGTGATAGAATCACCCTGACACCAGGTTATCTTTCTTCAATCTCTATCGTCAACGAAGAGAGTGGACAAAAATGAAGCACCATTTGTAAATGATTTATGCTGCATTCTTGACTCAAACCGAAAACAATATGAGGAGCCGAACTTCAAAAGTTTAAGAGCTACAATAAATCTTCACAAAGCTCCCACTTTATTCACTATTCATAGTCGTATATTATTCTCCCTAAAATCTCGATTCCCTTCCAATTCTGCATCCAATGCTGATAGCAGTGATGCAAAAGCCCTGACTTCTATTCATTTCAAGTCAATTGATATGATGAAAAGTTCTCTCTATAATATATATTGGTGATGCTTTTTTTCAATGAAAATAGTGAACTTGCACTGCTGAACATGAACAGACGAAAGAGGTGTCGGTGTTGGTATGAATTTCATCTCTTCACCCAGACACCCACACCCATTCATTCTATTTAGAACTGTTTCTGACTCTAACTGAAATAGTATTTTCCATCAAAACCGGGCTAAGAAAATTGTTTTATTTAAATAAATTCGTTGTTTGAGGAGGCATTTCGATATAGGTTTCGTCGATTTAGGGTCGAAAGAACTACGATTTACGCTAAAAATTCAGAGAAGTATCTCGAACAAACTAATACTAGAAGAATCTCTCGTATTGACTGAGTAATTCAATTCACGAAATAATTTGACTTTGATATATGACACACTGAAATATTGAACTATATTTTTGCTTGTATTTACATCAAAAAATAGTCTTGGCATACAGAAACCAAGAGAGAAACAGAATTATACTAAAACTGACCTACTCTGATGAGTTTCGGTAAGTAGATCCAAATCTGAATCCAAACTTATTAGA